AGCAGCCAGAAGGGAGAAGAAAAGGCTTGTCAAGAATGGTTCAAAGGACTGTCCCCAAAAGAGGGTTTTGTCCCCACCCCGAGTCTCAGGACCCCCAGCCCTGCCCTGATACGTGCAATCACAGTACACCTGGGGTTTTTTTGTTTTTAAACTTTCCCATCATTCTAGAATGATGCAGGAAGAACGAGTGTGCCTGGACCCTCCCTCTTTCCTCATGGGTCTTGTGGAAAATGTAACAGATATTCACGTTGGGACCCTCTGCATCAGTGCCAGGAGGGGGGCTTTGGTGATGAGAAAGAAAGGACAAGATGTTTACAATGATCTGACCCTGGGACGTGGTTCAAAACACTTCCAGAAATGAAGCTCCCCCGTGAGAGCGCTGGCCGAGTGACCACTGACCCCAGGGACTTTGCACCTAGCTGGCCCAGGAAGCAGGGGTAGCTCTGTATCCACTACACTTTGAAGAGCCCGCTGGTTTCCTAGCCATTGGGACAGAGGCAGTGGAGCCAACAACCCCGCCGAGAACTGGCACATGGCCCTCCTGGGACGCAGCTCCGAGCCCAGGCCCAGAGACTAACTGAGGCGGTCACACTTCACCCAAAGAACCTCCTCCTGCTGTCCCCAGGGCCTGTTTGCCCTAGTTCCTCAGGGATCAGGGGAGAGCCTGAACTAACATCAGGAGCTGTACCGTTTCTCTGCCGATGTTTGAATAATAAGCCCATCCACCCAGGCCCTCAGAGCTGCTGTGGTCGGGTCTGCAACCCTCACTCCTCCCTCCCGCCTTCTGCAAGTTCCTTGTATAACTGGAAGGCAGCTCGGAGCCTCGTCCACAACACAGAACACGGAAGAGAGCTTTCCAAGAAAACGGTTGCTGTGTCGATTTTGAGCATCTTCCTCCACAGACCAGTGTCAGGGCTGGCGTCAGTCCAGGCATGGCCTCTGCTGGGGGCTTGCAGACCTGAATCTGAAGTGGGGTTTACAGAGGTGCTCTGAGCAGCCCACCTCTCTGCCCCCACCAGGTACCTTCATCACAGAGGAACCTGGTTCCCCCCAACCCTCCCCCAGCCCGGCTTGTCTCAGCTCAGGATCAGCGCCAGGCTGCGAGGTCAGCCCCCTCACCTGCCCAGGGCCACACACTGGGGTGACGGTTCTCACTGGTTCCCAGGACTCTGCCATCCTGTGGCATCCTTCCTGGCTGAATTTTACACAATACTGTAATCTTTCAAAATGAAGAGTAGCAAATTAAAGTGATTTTATTGTTTCCTATTTTTCATTCTGATTACTGTTTTCTCCTCGAGTTAAGTGAGTTGGTATCTTCTCAGATTCTGGGGGAAGAGCTCAGCCTTCTTGGACCTGAGGGGCCACTCGTTGCGACGCTGACGTTCCCATGATGTTGGGGGTTGCACTTTCCAGCTGGCATCGACCCACCCTCCAGGCTTTTCTGCCCACTGGGTAAGGATCCAGTATTCCGTAGAAGTTTCCTTATATATCAAAACGAGACAACTGAGTCTTACTCAGACTTGTCCCAACTTTCATAAGGTGAAGGGTGTGCCGTTTCTCCACCCTGCAGAGGGCTGCCCTGGGTAGGTACCCCGAGGCCATCAGGCTGGGCACCCTCCCCTACACTGTCACAATTCCCTCAACCTGCCTCCCCACCTCCAACGACTTCAGACTTTGCGCCATCCTTCCCCTGCTGCTGTAGTCTTATTCCGGTCCAAGCTCCCCGGCCATGTATCCCACCTCTTCTCTCTTTAGGTATTCCCCAGCACCCGCCCCCCTCCCCGAGGGCCTCCGCAGCTGGGCTCCGTGGTGGGGGCATCAGGTAATAGTAGGTAAGTAACATGCAGGCAGCAGCAGCTGATGCCTTACACGTGCTCGCAAAGCAGCAGCTTCTGTCGTTGGCAGGTAAGAGCCGGCTGCCAGGATTCAGATCCTGGTTCAGCTGCTGCTGACTGGCTGTGTGATGGAGGACGAGTTCACCCCAGCCTCAGTTTGATCATCTGTCGAATGGGATTATAGTCCCTACCACACATGTAACTTAACCGCGTTAACTTCAGTGAAGCACTTAGAACAGTGTGAGCTATCGCTAACTTAATCATCCCCAGAAGCCCTGTAAGACTGGACTGTCAACCCTGCGTGACAAACGAGGATAAGTCATTCCCTCAGCCTTCTGCGGTTCCAGGGCGGTAGACAACATCACAAGAAATGTAAACACGGTAGCTAAATGCTGAGCAAGAGGGAAGCAAAGAGGTTGCCCCAGGTCAGCGTGGGGCTGTTAAGAAAGCTTCCTCCTCCCCTTCCCCACCCCCTGCACCCACCCCCTGCACTGCAGAAGCTGACCAGGTATATAGCCCCAGGCTCTAGGGCTTAAGAAGCCTCAAGGGAAAGACCAATAGCAGCTCCTGGCCGCTGGAAGGCACTTATAAAGCTCAGGGAGGAGCCTGAGTTCGATCCTGAGGGAGGGGCCGGGGGAGGCCCATCTGTGTGACATCGGTAGGTCTGTCTAGCTTTCGGGCAGGGAGTGACTGGAGGACCAGCAAGAAACAAGTTTGGCAGACATTTGGGTGAGGCGAAGGTGGCCTGGGTGGCCCTGAATCACTTCCTGAGGGCTGCTTCCCTCTCCTGCCCAGACAGGGCCAACTCGGCCAGGCCTCCAGGCTCCCTTCCACATCTGCCCACCCTCCCCGCCCCCCTCACCCTGGCTTCCACCAAACCCACCCTCCCTCCCTCGAGCAGCATGGCACCACCACATGTGTTTGGGGTTCAATGCTTACTCCGGCCTTTCCCTAATCAGGTTCGATGGGCTGGTTATAATTTGTCCTAATGCACTCTGAAAATCTGTATATTTTTACAATGAAGATGTTCACCTCTGCATGCCCAAAGCCATTGTCTACCTCCCGAGGGAAACGCTGGCCAAGGAGGACCTTCGCAGCCTCTTGTGCCCCCTGCATCTCCCTGCTGCACTCCTGGAAACCAAGAACCTGGGCTGCCTCCCCTCCCACTTCCCAACTTCCCTCTGTCTGGACTGCCCTTGGCCAGACTGCTTCTGCTCATACAGTACCAATTTAAATGCATCAGCAGCACGTTTATCCACAGCTGACCACGTAAGTGGCATTTTCTACTGTCACGAAGCCACATCCCACTGCTAAGCTTGCCTACGCACGAGGATGATGATTAAGGAAGAAGGGATGATCCCATTTTCTTATTCATCCCCCAAAAGACCAGACTGCAAAGTAGAATGACTGTCAGCCTCCTCTGGGGAGACGCCCTTACCTGCTGGCTTCAAGGAAAAGCTCCCTGGCAACCAGATTCCCATTAACACATAACGCAGAGCCTCACGCAAAACAGACTTTACTGAGAGAAGGATGCTGGTGGGAGGAGACCTGCGGTCAGGAATCCGGATTCTGTGCCCAGCTCCGTCGCCAACGCCGTCCACCCTCCCAGAGCATCCGGAGTTTCTGTAACCTGAGACTCTGTGCTTGAGTGGGGAAGGGTCCCTTCCAGCTCTGACTGAGAAAGATGTGTCACCAGGAAGGACAGAGCAAGAGCCATTTACAAAGGAGTCTACACTGCGAGAGCCCAAAGTTTAGCTCAGAAGAGCAGATCCAACTCCCAGCCCGCTCGCGGGCTGGCAGGTCACAAGGAACCCCAACCATGTGCCAAGGTGAGGACAGGGCAGTGGAGGCACCTGCAGCCACCTGGGGACAGACCATCCAAGGCTGGAGGGGAGAAGGCCACCGAGGGGCAGCAGAAGGCAGAGGCAGGAGGACGCTTCGAGGGGCGCACGACAGGCCAGGAAATAGGATCAACTTCCTTAACTACGATGTTTCACTGCATACTGGTAACCAACACACTTACTTGCCTATTTAAAACAACTCCAGTGGTCATTTTGTGATGTATGAAAATATCAAATCACTGTGTTGTGCACAGGGAACTAACATAGTGTTGTAGGTCAGTTATACTTCACACACACACACACACACACACACACACACACACACACACACACACACACGCACACCAACTCCACCAGTCCTCAGCAAAATAGTTCTGGCCTTCCACCCCCTTGCAGAAATTTCCAGATTTAAGACACTGGATTAGGCCGTCATTGTCTTTCAAGGGCTCGCCTCCCTGCACTGACAAATGGACACTTGACTACATACAGGCCACATATTTCAAGACGTATTTCCCAGCTATTGCTATTTTTAAAACACAACTAAAGCCACACCAAACCACAGCAAAGAAAATCCTAAGGATCTGTTTACTGGAAATATCTACAAAGGTTTGCAATGTCGGCAGCGAAGTGCAGAGCTGGCTCTGGTGAGAACTTCAGTTATGAAATAAAAAAAAGAAAATCCTAAGCAGTTCTTCACACCAGTTTTCCAGAAAACCCCACCAAAGGTGTATTTCCCCTTCAACTTCTGACTTTACCAAGCTGTCAGGAAGCAAACCACCTGCTCTTTTCTAGATGGATCCGGAGAAAGGTCTGGTCTTAAACAAAGAGCCTCCCCTCTCCACACTCCCCTCTCCCACCGCTGTCCCCACTCCCACCCACCACCTCAGGCTGCTGAGCCAGGATCACTCAACCTGAAGGCGGACAGAAAGGACCAGTCTTCGAAGAGAGTTAGGATTCGCCTCTGAGCGTGTCCCTGCCAGGTGGAGGACTCCGGGCTCCCAGACACCCAGCTGTGACACCTCCCGCTGCAAAGGTACCAACCTCCCCCCACTCCCCGCCCCTCCCAGCCCCCTGAACAACCAGCTGAGAACCAGAAAGAAAAGCCTGCTCTGCCCAGGGCAGAGGAGAGACACGAGGGGGCCGCTTGGGCGGGAATTCCTCCCGGGAAAACACGCAGGGCCTATGTCACTACCCAGAGGGCCAGATTTGGGGATTTTGAGCCTTCCTCCAGGGATGAGGGGCTGTGGGCTGGGGAAGACCACCCGACCCAGTCCCAGGTGGGGCTCGGACAGACCCTCCACTCAGCCACTAGCGGGCGCCTCTCCTTTTTCAATGCTTTTAATGCTTTTCAGATGGTGAGAGGCTGTGCTGGTGGCCGAGAGCACCCCACACCCCTTCCTTCAGGAGACACTTGAAAGGGACCACGCTCCCCCCTTGAAGCCCCATCTCAAGTGGTAGAATGTCCTCTCCAGTTTGGTCCTGCCTCCGGCCCCAGAGTCTCCCCCAAGCCCTGGGGAAGGGGCGCCTCTGGCCTCTCCTAGGAGCTGACGATGTGGCCGGACCAGGTCTCGTGCTTGGTGCCCGGCGCCAAGTGGGTGATGACCACCTCCACGGCCTGCAGCTTCTCGTTCTTGGGCGGGATGGAGCACATCTTATAGGTGACCTCATCGCCTTCCACGGGGACGTACTCCCCCTCCACACTGTGGGGCGGGGAGAGAGCACTCAGGGCTGGCACTCAGAGAAGCCAGGACACCAGCCCTCGCAGAGGAACTGCCGCCCTGCCCTGCCACCAGGGGGCACCACCATGGCCCTCTGGTCGTGGCTGAGGAGCCCCACACCCAATCAGCTCCTTCCCTGGGACCTCGGTTGCTGAGACAGAGATGGAGCCCCACCCCCTGGGGATGCTCACATGGCATGTTAAACGAGGGCACCATGGGCCTGATGGAAGGAACAGCGGGGAAAGGCAGTCTGAGCCCGAGTTGGGGGATGGCCCGGGTGAGCGTTTCCTGAGCAGCACCCCGACCCCCTGCCCCGTCCAGGAGTCTCAGAAACCAGGCTACACCTCTGCTGTTCAACTCCTCAGAACACCAGTGAGCTTTCCAGAAAGTCCGTTTCCCTTACTTTCTATGGGACATGAGTCACCATCTCACCCGTGATAGGGAGGTGCCCAGCTTGATGTCCCCTTGATGAGACCCCAGGAGGAAAATCCCCTTCAGATCCTGAGCACCAAGACCAGCCAGCTCCCCCAGAACTGGTTTGCCTTGACTGAAGAATAACATCGCAGATGGTGCTGCCCTCTTTGATTTGGCCCACAGGAAGCTCAGGAATAAACATGTAGCCCACTTCTAGCAGTGGAACTAGGCATCACAGTACCCCCATCTTTCTTATCTGCCCCGCAACCCCATGCTTTCCTTTCTAATTTTTTTGGTGCACTGTGTGTATCCTTGTCAACCACTACAAATCCTTTCTGGAAAGAGGCAATGTGGAGATACATGTCTACATCCACATATGATTCATACATACGTGGAAGGCATTGCTCTAGCGTCATCCCCATGTCTACGCTGTACGGGGGTCTATTGAAGACCCGGCGTGTAAGAATGTTGGGGGAGGGTCAGAAGGGATAACTCTCCCATCCCAGCAGACATGTGCAACAGGATCCTAATTTCAAAAACATGGTTTCTATGTAGACAAGGTCTGCTGTGTGGGGTAAGGACTTTGCCTGCCACAGTTGGAAAGACTGGGGAGCTGCCGCTGAGGTCAAGGGTTGGGGTGCGGGTCGGGGTGCCAATCGGATCCCCACAGATCTGCAGGCTGCTGGACGCCTTCCAGCCCCAAGACCAAGGACATGTGGGCTCCACCCTGGGTGCCCCCCACCGCCCGCCCCAGGGTTTCCAGACACTCAGGAAGGAAGGACGTCAGTGAGCAAGTGGCAGGAGAAAGGGTCCAGCCCCAAACTTCCTTCCTGGAGCAGAGCGCAGGCAGCCCCATGCCTCACCAGGCTGCTACCCCCAAGGAAGTACAGGAGCCCAGCCGCCAGGCGAAACACAGCTCCCCAGACTCACAGGGACGCCCCTCCCCACCCACCAGACCCACACAGGCACTCAGACCCACCCCAAGCAGATCTCAACTCACACACGCGCACACGCAGTCGCCTGCAGCCTGACACACTGCCACCACCACCACGGGCTCACGACCCCACCGCTGAACACTGTCACACACAGATCACAAGCAGAGTCGCACACACCTGGCTGCACAACCATCATCATAGCCGGTGCCCAGCAGAGTCACACGCTCTCCCTGCCTCCTCGGGGCCACGGCAGCACCCACCCCAGACCCAGCCCACCCAGACTGGCTGCTGACTTACTCGGAGATGTGCAGGAAGATGTCAGGGCCACCGTCGGCAGGGGTAATGAAGCCGTGGCCCTTGGACCGACAGAAGCATTTGCAGACTCCCCTGTAGATAGGGCCCTGTGAAGCCCGCACCGTCCTGCCAGCGAGAGGAGAAAGCGTGAGCAGCCCCCGCCAGCCCTCCAGAACAGCCCCCGGCTTCCCGGGCACACCCAGCTCATCCCAGTGCCTACCCACGCTGTGCCCCAGGGAGTCCTGGCCAGGGCCACCACGTACAGCTGTACAGGTTGTGCACTGCACAACTCTGGGAGCCATTCACAGAGACCCTGGTGACAATGACTCTCTGAATGAGGCTGGCAGAGTTTTCTCGGGCCTCAGTTTCCCCCTCTGACTAAAAGCTCTCTGCGCATCCCTCCCTACGAAGGCTATTAGCAGCAGCAGCTAGCACCAGCCTCCACTCATTGGCCTGAGCTCTGCATCTCCCAGGCACCGTGTGGGTCCCCTGCGGCACCGTGGCCACCCTGCTACTGTCCCCCTTTTGCAGCCAATGAAGTCAAGAGCTCACGAGGGAAGAGGCCTGTGTGTCGTTAAAGCCTGATGATTTAAGACCCCAGCGATTTCCCACCCCTGGCCATCCCCAGTCCTTGCCCCCAGCTCGTGACAGCCTCAAGTGGGCCTGGAGCAGCGCCGTATAGTTTATGAGGTGCCTGCCCAGTTTCTCACCATCAGCCCTTTCCCAACCCCGAGTCTCCCATCTGACAGACAGGGACGTGAGGCTCTCTGGACCCCGCAGGCGACCTGTCTCAGGAAGCCTGACACTCACGCTGAGAAGGTCCTTGTCCGGCGAGTGGGCAGTGGGCTCGGGACCACGTTGCCCCGAAGCGGGGATGGTGAGCGATCTCGGGCCTGTTGGGTATCCAGCAGCCCGGCCGAGGACTGGTGGGCGGGGTGCTGTGATGGGGGAGGAGGCTCAGATGACATGGCCGACCTGGAGAGGGACAGGAGCTCTCAGGGGCTCACGCCTTGCAAGGAGGGGCCCCCCGATGCCTCCCCACCCCAGCGTCTGCCATCTGAGACTCATTCCTCCGGCTGTGGAATGCAGACTCGAGGCTCACTCAGCGTGGAGGTCACCTGCTCCAGAAACACACCCGGCTCACTCCAGCCGGGGCAGGCGCCTGGTCTGGGCTCCTGCAGCTGCCGTGGGCCTCCCGCTATCATTGCTCTCTACAGAAATGCCAGGTCGCATCACTGATAAGGACACCATTGGCCCCCTCTATGTTCCCAGTGCCCAGCACAGACCCTGGCACACGCCGGGCCAGGCGTGGTAAATCCTTGTGAAAGGAAGGAAAGGAGGGAGGGCGGGAGCAGGGAGGCAGGCAGGCAGGGCGGGCGGGGATGCTTCAATGCCAACCACCTAGATGAGGACTCCAGCCACTCATCAGACATTTCCTGGCCCCGGCTAAGTGCCGGACACTGTGGGGAACACAGAGGCAAAAAAGGGACCAACACTCAAGTGTTCCTCCAGGAAACTCCGGGACACAAACCAAAGAAGGCTCAGACCCCAAGTCAGGCCTGCATTCAGGAGAGGGAAGCCCGGCAGGTAAGTGCGTGGGACCCTGAGGGGCAGGGGCATTTCAAAGGCAGCATCTCCACCAGGCCCCTTACTCAGATCCAGGCCTTAATTTCCACACAGCCTGAGTATCCAATTGCTGCTAAGAAATCGAATTCCCTCCGTGACCCCCTAACATGCATCAGAGGCCGGGGGCAGACCCAGCTGGAGGGGCCGGGGGGAGCGGACACCATAGTCCCTGCCTCGCTCTGGCAACTGTGTCAAGAGCAGCACGTGGCCGCTGTACCCAACACACTGGCGGCCTTGCCTCAAGGCCATGAGGAAAGAGCAAAGCCCAGGAGCCAAAGGACCTTGGCTGAGTCCTTTCCCCTCTCTGGGATCAATTTTCCCATCTGCACAGTGGGGCAGCTGGGTGGGCATCACTCAGCACCTGCTCAGGGAGGGGGATGGGGACTAAAGGTGGAGCAGAGCCGGGCCCTGTGGCCCCAGAACAGCAGAGGAGGCCAACTCAGACATCACGCCCGTTCACAGGGCAGCCCTGCTGGGTTCTGTGTGGTTCACATGGGGTTTTCAATTTTAAAATATGTGCTATCTTTTAAACATCCCAGGAGTTTGCCCCAAAATCTAGGTTTCCAACTAGTTTGAAAAAACTAGCAGCTCTGACAGCCTGGAGCCTCCAGTCCACCAGCCCTGCCCCATGCATGCCTGGTCTATAGCAATTACGCAGCCCCAGGGCACCAGTTTTTAACCTGCATCCTCCAGGGAAAGGGCCACCTCCTTCCCCCAAAGGACGAAACCTCTTCCTCCACTGTCCCCACAGTCCCCCCGCAGACCCCCACACTCCCCTTTCAGGACTCGCTCCCTCTGGCTGGGATGGGAGAGGGCCGCCTGGCTTCCCTGGGGAAGTGACATAGCTACCTCCTGACCCTTCTCTCAGCTGCAGCTGCAGCCAGCCCAGAAAGGCCCCGGCTCCTTGGCCGGGGGTCAGGGCTCCAGCATGACCCACCAGTACAGGTCATAGAGTCCTAGAATGTTCAATGCCTGGGGTTCTGGGAAGGGGGCCAGCCCAGAGAAGGGAAAGCCCCACCCAGGACAGCAGGTGGGACCACTGCGTCCTGGTGACACCAGGGTGAGGCGGGGAAGTTCCCTCCCCCGCATCCACAATCTCCCTCTTTCCCCTGGTGTCAGGCACATCTGACTTCAAATCCCACCCTGCCGGCTGTGTGATCTTGGGCAAGTTACTTAACCTCTCTGGACCTTGGTTTCTGCATGAGGAAAATGGGGATTTTAATAGTTCTGACTTCACACCATTGTCATGAAGTTGAAATGAAACAATACATGTTAGGCACTCTGCATACCCTCCAGCCAGAACAAGTGAGCATTAAGTGTCAGCTACGATTGTTGTTATAACTGTCATCATAAAGTCATTCAACAGATATGTGCCCAGTGTCAGGCCCTGTTCATGGCACTAGAGACACGGCTGAATCTGGAGCCAGAGAAGAAACAGGTCAATAAATATATAAACAAAATCATTACAGGTGGTTCCCTGGTGGCCTAGTGGTTAGGATTCCAGGCTTTCATTGCCATGGTCCAGGTTCAATCCCTGGTAGGGGAACTGAGATCCCACAAGCTGCGTGGTGTGGCCAAAAAATAAATAACCATTACAGACTGCTGAAAGGGCTGATAAGAAATACACAGAGGGACATAAAAAGTAGCAGGGTTGGGGTGCCACTCTAATGAGGGTGCAGGCTGGGTCCCGGACAGTAAGAAAGAGTGGACCATTTACAAAACAGAGGGAGGCTCTTCCAGGTGTGGGGAAACAGCCTGTGCAAAGGCCCTGAGGTTGGCAAGGGCAGGTGTGACTGAAGGCCAGCAAGGAGACGGTGTGGGGGGCGCCCCACTGGGGAAGGAGGGGTGAGAGGCAGGTTGGGTCGGAGGGCATCACCATCATCCCCATGTGTCTTCATGCTTCACATCCATGTCTGTCTGACTGTCCCCATGTCCCCTGCCAGGGCTACCACCCCCTGGGTTAATGAAGCAGGCCCAAACTGGGGCCCCCCGTCTCTCTCCACCCCAGCCCCCTTGACTCCCCTAGTATACCCAGTCCAGCAGAGATGCTGATGGAAGCCCACCGTCTTGAGCGGGGAGGAACCTGAAGGCAGCATGGAGTCCCTCCACATCCTAGGGCCCTGCACTGGGGATGGGACAGAGCAGGGTCTTAACCAGCATTAGGACCCGAAGCCGCCACTGGAGTTCATGTGTACTTGTGTGCTCGGTGCCTTGCACAGTCGAGCAGCAGCAGGGGGCTCCACGCATGCGCACCTGGCAGTGGGAGAAACTGAGGCATGGGGGGCACCAGAGCCTCCCGGAGTGGGGACGGGAAGGTAAGTGCCGGCCTGGGAGACTCAGGAGCCTTAACCACCACCCTGCCCGCCTCCCCTGGGCCATCAGAGCTGAAAGCAGCTGGGGCAGCTGGAGCAGGCCTGGACAAGAGCCAGCCTGCCCCCAGGGGCCTGCGTGGGGAGGGGGAGCGGCAGCGGCATGGGGGAGGGGGCAGGGAGAAGGAGTGCACGGCCTCTGTGTGGGGAGGCCTGGGTTAAAGTCCAGCTGTAAGGAAAACAGCTGGGGGGAGGGGGGAGCCAGTAGCCCAGGAGCCAGCTCTGGGGCCTGCTGCTGCCCTCCAACACACAGATGGTGGGTGTGCAGCAGTCACCCCCCCACACCCTCATCCCCACCCACCGGTGCTTCCAACCAGCAACTGCTCTCCCAGCAACACCAGGGGAGCCTTGGAACTGACCCTGGAGGAGGCAGGGCCCACCCGCTGCCACTAGCCCCCCTCCTGGACCCCCTCAACTCCCTACAGCTGCAGGGCATTTGCGAACAGGCAACCGAGGCTCAGTCTGCAAGGAGGCTCTAGGCCAGACCTGGGACGGGCCTCAGGGCTGCAGCAAACTCAGAGGGAATGTCATGCCCAAGGCATGCCACGGCTGCTGAGCTGTGTGCACACACCTGTGTGTGTGCATGTGCGTAAATGCGTATGGCTGTGTGTGCACAGGATTGTATGGGCGTGTTTGGCTCTGCTCACATGTGTGGTGTGTGTGTGCACGTGTGTCTGAAGCCAGGCGCACACGTGGATGCACACCTGTCACTGCCTGTGTGTGCACACTAGTGGACGGGGCGAGGCCACCCCACCCCTGGCACCAGCAGGGCCTTTACCCTGGGAAAGGGCAGGAAGGGGGCCTCAGCCCAAAATAGCCTGGGAATTTTCCACAGGCCCTGCACGTCCTCCTGGAAGGTTCAGAGAGCAGCTGGGCACCAGGCTCCGGTCTTCCTGACCCCTCTTCCACCCACCCACATATCAAGGGACTGGGGACCCAATCCTGCAGAGCCCCTGCTAACCCCCTCCCCTCCTGCCCTCTCGGCGGCCTCAGACCCCACCAATCCCACCAATCGTATCAAGGACAAGTCTGTCTTGAGCCAAGTAGCCAGTTGCTGACTCCAGGGAGGGGATCCTTGGCAGTGCTATCGGTCATTTACACTTTAGTGAGAAGGAGTTTGCAGTTCATTCCACAATGCTCCATTCTTGGTAGCTTTCAGACGCTTGAGGGCAGGGAGATGGAGGGGAAAGAGCGGAGTTCAAGTTGGGAGCTTCATTCTCAGTATGGTTCTCAGCAAAGCCAGATCTCTCCAAGCCTACTCTGAAAAATGGGGTGTCGAGCCTTCCATGGGTTTCTGGATGGGGGAGGCCAGGGCTGGGCACCATGTTCAGACACCTCCCAGCCCCAGGGCCAGGCCACTGCTGGCAGGTGGGGATGACTACTAGCCTGCATGAAGGGAACAGGACAGGGCACTGGAGAGAGTCGGTGCTAAAATGGAGATTCTGAAGATGGGGGCGGAGTCCCAGATTCTGCATTTCTAAGGAGTTCCCCCCAGCAAGGTAGATGCTGGTCAACCAACACAGAGTAGTACACACACAAGAGTAGTGCGGGTTACCGGGTTATCGGCCTTGCCCACCTCTCAATCAGCATAAGAGGGTGGAAGGGAAATATTTTTTTTTTGGGGGGGGGCTCTAGATGAGTCACAAAGTCACCTTAGTACACCCAGGTTCCTCGTCTGTAAGCTGAGGCAGCAGAGACGCCTCCCTTCCCTTCTCAGCCTCCAGCCCAGCTAAGCCCCAGCCCCGCAGAACCAAGGGCACGTGGGCCGAGGGGCTGGGTGAGCCAGCGGAGGCTGTACAGTGAGGTCCCAGGAAGCAGGAGAGGCCCATGAGGAGCCCGAGGCGGGCTTGGGCCACATTCCCCTCCATTGTTCGGGGGAGACTGGGGCTCAGGCGAGGGAGGCGGGGAATAGAGCGAGGATAGAGGGGAGGGGGAAAGGGAGGGGGCGGGGACTCAAGGGGCGGGGATTCAGAGAGGGCCGAGGCCAAGGGGCGGGGCGGGGGG